GTTCCAGCCTCGCTTGACGTCTGCCGGCAAGCCTGCAAGCTTATTGATGAGGTAGCACACTGACGTGGTAGCGTTAAACAACTACCTGGCCAGCGCAAGCTCTTTTCTGCCGCTGTTCGCAAGAGCAGTCGTGCAGTCGCAAACACTACGGCACCTAATCGTCTACGTCCGTCCGCTACCTCTGCTTCCCCAGCGAGTGATGTCCCCTCACACGAGTCTGCCGCTACCGCTGTCGCTGTCGCCTCCGTCGTCTAACTGAGACACGCGTTGAAGAGTGTTTGACTCTTAAGAAACTAATAAACGATCTTCCGATCGATGGTCATGGGCCAGAGGCGAGCCAGATTAACCATTGCCAAAATCTTCAAGGGTTTATTCCCATACAGAGTTCATTAAACAAGATCCTGACATTTCCGATTGACCTGTGTCCTTCTTCGGTGACATTACAAAACAACAAGTGCGCAGACAGCTTCAACAGTTTTGCTACACGGGGTAGAATGATTTTAGGTTGCGAATCAACGAATTGTAGATACGTACTCTATTTCGAACTGACAGATGTAGATGTAATTTAATCTTAGTCTTCCTCTCTAATTCCTTTCTTATTTGGTTTCAGGTTGATAGCGATTACCTTTCCATGAATCGCGCTGCAAAGTGCTCAGTGAAGCCTCACTCTCTTCAAAGCGACTCATTCAGAAAGTGTGATTGAAAAATAATTCTCTTCCATCATAGGCAACTCTTCGACTGGTCATGATGAGCTCTCAGCTGCGGGGTTCAGTGTGTTAGCACCGGAGCAGACTCTACCGTTTAGATCACCTGAAATCACTGTCTATTGCAGAGTCATATTCCTGACTTCAGGGATGCCATACCGATTCATTCCTGTACCGAAATCCAACGGGTCAACTAATGTCATCAGTTTAGCCCAGTAGCGACACTCCCAGTTACTCTTAAAGCTCGTTGGAGCAACCCATCTAATACCGCATTTGTGAAGCACTGAACTTATGTTGGATAAATTCCTGTTTATTATCGTGGAGGCCGAGGTACTGTTAAAGTGACAGTAATATCTCACATCTGGGTCAAGGTACCCGTGCAGTACAACTGCTGTGTCTTGATTTCACATCATTTTTCAATGCCGTTCAAAGGGATTTACTACTCAACACCATGAACAACTTTCAGTTGACGCACAGCCATTTAAGCAGCACTCAGACTGCTCTTCGCATCGAATGCACGTACTTTCTAAACGCCAACAAATCCACTTCGACCGGCAAACTAAGCGATCATAGAGCATGCAAGGATGTGTTCTGTCAATGTGTTCTTTTCGACATTCGCACGTTCTCAAGTCGCACCAATGATCAGGTGATCTTGATCAAATTTGCCGATGGCGCTACAGTTGTCGCATAAAATCGAACGTTGATCTGTAAGAATATCGAACGGGTGTTTCGAACCACGAAACACGGTCTACAAGATATGACTGCGTTTATCTTCATCTTCTTCATCTTCATCTTCCATCGCCGCTTCTCCTTTCGGGTCGCGGAGGCAGATGCGTCAGACAGTGCTTCCAACGTTCCTGATCCTGTGCCAGAGTCTGAGCTTCGGCAGAAGAAACTGGAGTCTGGAACAGCCTTCTTCAATATATTTGCACCAGGTTAATCTTGGCCATCCTCTGGGCCTTCTGCATGTAGGATTTGCAAGAGGACTGCGTTTAAACACCACAAAATCAACTGAATGTATCCATGTCTTGCGAGGTATACGGAGTCAACAACAGTCTAATTATCTAGCTATCTTACCAATCACATCGCATAGGTAAGTCCATCGTTCATATCGAAAAGGTTAAATTGCGGCTTTCCGTAAATCTTATATCCAGCTACGGTATTGAAAAATAATTTGAAGCACTCCAGTAATAATCCTAAGTTCTTAGTCGCCCAACGCATTCGCTGTATCTTCTACTACTTACGCGACTTGCCAACGTAGGGTGCCAGACGACGTCCTTAAACATTCATCGGCGCTTGCATTAGGCCTCTGATTTCCTACAACTGATCAGTTGCACCATTTCAAGGTCTGACTAATGCCGAGTTCCAGGTACCTCGGCATGCCCTACGACTAGTCTGTCGCACCGGTCGTATCAGCCACCGCTTTCCTGCTTGCTCTGTAGCTGATCAAGTGCTTTCGGCTACCCTCAGATTCTGCTCGATCAATTGCACCCTTTGTTTCAGTATTTATCTAGATGAGTTTCCAAACGTGAAACTTCCCGCTCTCAGTAGAAATCCATGTATCTGAAAAACTACCTGTATGAAACATCATGCACTCTCTACTTAAGATCTTCGAAACGTTGAACCGATTCGAAAAACATTTCTGTTAAAGCTGTCCATGTAAATCTGTTGACTTACTCGATTGACTACTACTCAGTGCATAACTGGTGCCGATTGGTTCCACACTGAGCTATTAAATGTTTTGTTCTCTGTTACCGGTGAGCCCATCAAAATCCCATACTCTTGCCGTTCGTGTCGAAATTAACATAGACATCCCTTGTGACAACTTCATTTATGCAGATGATATCTGTGGGTTCGAATTTGCTCAATGGCAAGTTCGACTTTGTCCGGTTCTCTTTTTTCTCTTGCAGTTCAATGAATAGAAGTCTATTTAGTGTCGAACTGGCTCAATAGGAAGTTCGACTTGGTTCGTTCTATTTTTTCTTTTCCAGTTCAATAAGTAAAAGTCTATTCAATGTGCCTCCAGCTAAAGAGGGGAGGGGGCATACACTGGTCCCTTGCATCAAGTGATTACACGTGATCCTCGAAAGTAGCATTTCTCTGGGTGAATTATCACGTGGAACAAATTGTATGTACTATATTTAAGTATATTTACGGAGGCAACGAGAAAATTTGCCGAATGGGTTTAGCAACTCATCTGAATCGCTTGTAAAAGTTTTGTACTGCCCTTAAACGCACTGACCATTGTTCTCTGGACTTTTACTTCTTCCGATGCTATACTATATATGTTATCGTCCAAAAAGGTAGATCGTTCATACCAGTATGGGCTGAAACGAATTACGATTTACGATTCAGTTCAAAACTCCGCCATGGCCGGTCCCAAGCCCGGT